AAACTTGATATCTTTGACAGCAAATTCAAGATATGTAGACATGCTTACTTTAGTTTTCAATGTTATAATACATTTAAATCCTTTGATTTTCTTCTCTTTTATGAGCCATAGAACAATATGGTATTCCTTAATAAATGTTCAACTATTTTTTTTCTTGCTAAAAAGGAAATTGAGTCCCTATTTGGTGGGAATTAAAATAAGATTTTTAGTTATTTTTGATAAAAGTTGATGAAACGTGTAGTTGAAAAATTGTAGATTCTATACATAGTTAAAAGTAATTATTGACTTTGACTTAAATTAAATGGGCTAAACAATACGTACGAGTTTCTTTCAGTAATTATTTTGATATTTGGTTAGTTTGTATTACAAGGTAAGTAACTAAGTATGAGAGATTACTTGTTCTAATTGTTTTGATAATGATATAGATATTTCACAGTGACATTTATTAAATCCCTGTTTGGTAGTGATTAAAATCAAAATTTTAGTTGATTTTGATAAAAATTGATAAAATATTTGATTAAAAATTTATAGGACCCATGAAATATATAATTAAAATTCATTACTAACTTTAATATATATATGGCACACAATTAATTTTGAATTATTAAATTCATGGGACCTACCATTAACATATTTACCAACCCATTATTGTGCTATGTCATCGGTACTTAACATAAGCTAAGTATCTATGCCCATTAGATCATTTCCCTATATATACACTGACCCAGGTCTATGTTCTACGTTTCAGTTTGGTTTCTTCAGTCAAAATATTATATGGTTACTTGACCGCAGCTTGAAGTCAAGAATACTATGTGATGGGACTGGGACCATGAGTTAAATTAAATTAAAATTTCTTGATTAATAGCACAAAATATTTTTTTGAAGCTTGAAGCAATTATAAGTCGTGTTTATTCTTTCGAAATTCTTTTTTTTTTTTCAATACCCATTTTCAATCCATGCATTCACACAATAAAATATTATTTTTGTAAATCCGACTTTTTTTTCTTCTAATTTTTAGTCATACATTCTCCAAAAATTTACTATTCAAAAATCCACTCTTTTCTAAAAATACTGTCAAACAGGAACTAGATCATATTGTCCTAAATAGGCGATGATGGAAAATACGAGGTGCAACCAGTTCATCCCTGCCTACAAAGCCAATCAGCATGAAAAAATGTAGCAATATGGTCGACCACTTCATTTCCTTCAAGGAAGGTTAAATGACAAGACCCACAATTTACATAGAAAGCAAAGATGAAATATTATAATATATTCCAGCTATGGGATTGATGGAAATTATAGGGTAGAATTAGTTTTTGTAATACTTGGTCAATGAGATTTTTCTGTTGGAAATTAAACTTGATTCATGAATGATGAAAAATAAATAAATTTGATACATGAATTAGTTTATTTAATATTCATGCATTTATTTAAATCATGTATCCAAATGGTTCTCTGTATTTTATTATTTATAGTATGTAGGAAAAATCATTAATTAGTCTATTAAATTTATACAATGTATTTGGGATCCTTTGAACCTATAAAAGACTTTGTGCTTGAGACATTTTATTGAGCCAAGCCATAGAATACAAATATTTTTGAGAATTTTCTGAATTTTTCTCTCTAGTCTTTTATCCCATAATTTTTTATTTCCAACAAAGTGGTATTAGAGCCATTTCAAAGATGAATAGTTCATTTCCTTTTGTTGTTCCCAAACTAACAAAGGAAAATTATGGACATTGGAGCATATGCATGAAGGCGTTCTTGGCTCACAAGAGGCATGAGAAGTTGTAGAGAAAGACTATGATGAACTTGAGAATGGAGCTTTAAGTCAAGCTCAAAGGAACACTTTGCAAAGGTATCGCAAGTCAGATCAATACACTCTCTCTATCATTTATATGGGCTTAGATGAAGCCATATTCGAGAAAGTTGTGTCCTCAACAAAAGCTAAGGAAGCTTGGAAAATTCTCGAGAACAATTTCAAGGGAATTGAAAAAGTGAAGAAGGTTTGCCTTCAAATCCTTCTTGGGGAGTTCAAATATCTGCACGTGAAAGAGTCTGAACTTCTCTTTAACTATTTCACTAGACTGTCCTCCATTGTCAATCATATGAAGCGGTATGAGGAAAATATTGAAGAAAGTCGTGTCATTGAGAAAATCCTTAGATCGTTTGACTCAAAACTTGAGTTTGTTAGTATTGCCATTGAAGAGTTTAATGACTTGGATACCATGACCCTTGATCAACTCACGGGGGTCCTTGCAAGCATATGAAGAAAGATTGAAGAAGAAAGGAGAGCCGGTGGCTTAAGTTCTCCAAACGAATGTCTCCTTGGGAGGTCAACAAAAAGAGCAAGGATGATCTCAAGGAAGAGGTCAAATTCATGGTCGAGGTCGTTGTCGTGAAGGAAATTATGGTCGTGGTAATGAAAGAAATGATGAAAAACAAAATTTGAATAATGAAGGATCAAGCAATCAATCGAGAGGACAAGGGCGTTGGAACTATGGCTCCAAGAGAGGTGGCGGAAGAAGATATGACAAGTCCAATGTTCAATGTTACACTTGTCATAAATATGGTCACTATGCTTCCGAATGTGGGAGTGACACCACCAATAATGATGAAAGAGTGAATTATGTTGAAGCGAAGGAAGATTAAGAATTGTTGTTGTTGTTGGCAACCAAAGAAGAAAAGGATAAACAATCGTGGTGCGTTGACACCGGTGCCGCCAATCACATGAGTGGCAACAAGGAGTTATTCTCAACAATAAATGAGTCCGTAAAAGGCAACATTTTTTTTTGAAGATGAAACTAAAATTCCAATAAAAGGCAAATGTGATGTTTTTATTCGCGCTAAAAATGGAAGTCATCTTTTGATTTCTCAAGTTTATTATGTACCTACTTTGAAGTCTAATATTTTGAATTTGGGACAATTACTTGAGAATGGCTACGGCATTCACTTGAAAAATCATTGCCTTACTTTGAGAGATGTTTGTTATAAACTGATTGCAAAGGTGCCAATGGAGAAAATAGAATGCTTTTACTCAATGTTAATGTTGACTATCCAAGGTGTCTAAAAGCTTGTGTTGAAGACAATTCTTAGTTTTGGCACTTAAGATTTGGTCATTTGAATTTTGGTGTCTTGAAGACCTTGACGAATGAAGAAATGGTGAATGGGTTGCCAAAAATTACTCATCCCAATTAATTTTGTGAAGGATGCCTTGTTGGCAAGCAAACTTGAAGAAGCTTTCCAAAAGAATTCCACCTCAAGAGCAACAAATCCACTCCAACTTGTTCATGCGGATGTGTGCGGGTCAATCAAACCACCCTCTCATGGTAAAGGAAATTATTTCTTACTATTTATTGATGATTTTTCTCGCAAGACCTGAGTTTATTTTTTGAAGACGAAAGATGAAGTTCTTGGAGCATTCAAAAATTCAAAGCCTTTGTTGAAAATGAGAGTGGCAACTCAATCAAAGCATTAAGGATGAATTGAGGTGGAGAATTTACTTCCAAGGAGTTTAACAATTTTTGTGATACAAATGGAATCCGGCATTTCTTTACAGTTCCAAGATCACCGCAACAAAATGGTGTTGTGGAGGGGAAGAATAGAACCATCCTCAACATGATTCGTAGTATGCTTAAGAACAAGAGTATGAGAATGAGTTTTGGGTCGAGGCTATTGCATGTGCCGTGTATTTGTCTAATCTTTTCCCGTTGAGGAGTGTTCAAGACATGACTCCACAAGAAGCTTGGAGTGGTAAGAAACCTAGTGATTCTCATTTACGTGTTTTTGGTAGTATTGCCTATATTCATGTGCGAGATGAGAAGAGATTAAAACTTGATGAGTAGTTTGTTTTCATCGGTTATGATGCAAACTCTAAAGGCTACAAGTTTTATAATCCTTGCAATGAAAAGATTGTTATTAGTAGATATGTGAAATTCGATGAAGGAAGCTTTTGGGATTGGAATGTTCCAAAAAATGAAGAAAACGTGATTTTTCCTTTCCAAGAAGGAGACTCTAGCCAAAACGAAAGTGAAGATGCCACTCCACTGCATTCTCCTGTTCCTCATGATAGTCCCTTCGAAGGATCGAGTCGTACTAGTAATCTTGCAGAGATTTATGAAGAAACTGAAATTGTTGATAATACATCTTTGTTTTGTCTCTTCGTTGACGCCGAGCAATTGAACTTTGAAGAGGCAATGGAAGACAAGAGATGGAGGTATGTAATTGATAAGGAGATCCGAGCAATAAAAAAGAACAATACATGGGAGCTAGCCTCTCTTCTTGAAGGGCAAAAAGAAATTGGTGTGAAATGGGTGTACAAAGTAAAGAAAAATACTCGAGGAGAAGTGGAGAAATACAAGGCAAGACTTGTTGCTAAAGGCTATAGTAAAAAGCATGGCATTGACTATGATAAAGTCTTTGCCCTCGTTGCTTGCTTAGAAACCATTCGATTTATCATTTCCTTGGCAGCTCAAAATAAGTGGAAAATTTATCAAATGGATGTCAAGTCCACTTTCTTGAACGGATACCTTGAAGAAGAAGTGTACGTTCAACAACCATTGGGTTATATTGTCAAGGAACATGAAGATAAAGTTTTGAAGTTGAAGAATGCCCTATATGGCTTCAAGCAAGCGCCTAGAGCTTGGTATAGCTAGATTGACAAGTATTTTCAAGATCATGGATTCATCAAATGTCCACATGAGTATGCTCTTTACGTTAAAAAGGAAGCATTTGGAGGTTTTGTGATTGTGTGTTTGTACATTGATGACTTGATCTTCATTAGCAACAATGAAAATATTTTTGATGAATTTAAGAGAATGATGGCTTAATAATTTGAGATGGCTGACATTGGACTCATGTCATACTACCTCGAAATTGAGGTAAAACAAAATGGAGATGACATTTTTATTTTTCAAGAAGCCTATGCAAAGAAAGTTCTTGAAAGATTCAAAATGTAAAATTGCAATTTGGTGAGTACTCCCATTGGGTGTGGAACAAAGATGTCAAAATATGACGAGAGTATGAAAGTGGATCCATCTCTCTATAGACAGCTTGTTGGAAGCTTGAGATATTTGACTTATACAAGACCCGATATTCTTTATGGTGTTGGTCTTGTTAGCCGTTATATAGAGGCACCAACTTTAACTCACTTGGAGATTGCTAAAAGGATACTTCGCTACATTAAAGGTACCACTGATTATGGCTTAGCTTATTCCTCTTCTACAAATTTCAAGCTTTATGGTTATTGTGATATTGATTGGGCTAGTGTTACTAATGATCGAAAAAGCACCACTGGATTTTTGTTTTTCATGGGTAACATCGCTTTCACTTGGTGTTCAAAGAAGTAGCCCATTGTGACCCTTTCTACTTGTGAAGCTAAATATGTTTCTGCTGCATTGTGTGTTTGTCACACCGTTTTGCTACGAAAATTATTGGAGATGCTTCATATGCCTCAAAACAAACCTACACCAATTTATGTTGATAACAAGTCAGCTATTGCTTTGGGTAAAAATCCTATGTTCCATGATCGAAGCAAGCATATAGATATTAGATTTCACTTTATTAGAAGGTGCATTGAGAACAAAGAAATTGAGCTTGCTTATGTGAAGACCAATGATCAACTAGCAAACATTTTTACCAAACCATTAAAGAATGATGATTTTGCAAGATTGCGTACTTGGATTGGAGTTATCAAGAAAGAATCAAGTTTAAGAAAGGGTGTTGGAAATTAAACTTGATTCATGAATGATGAAAAAAATTTAATTTGATACATGAATTAGTTTATTTAACATTCATGCATTTATTTAAATCATCTATCTAAATGGTTCTTTGTATCCTATATTATTCATAGTACGTAGGAAAAGTCATTAATTAGTTTATTAGGTTCATACAATATATTTGAGATCCTTTGTACCTATAAAAGGCCTTGTGCTTGAGACATTTTATTGAACCAAGCTATAGAATACAAATATTTTTGAGAATTCTTTAAATTTTTCTCTCTAGTCTTTCATCCCATGATTTTTTATTTCCAACATTTTCCACGCTTTTGATTTACATGATCGTACAACCTTTATACACATCATACAAAGTCTATTTCAAGCAACTAGACTAATTTTGTGACTACAATTTCCTAACATTTACATTCTAAGATTACCCTTGATTTAAGCCTAAGAATAATTATTTTTGTCTTTGGTTTGATTTGAGGGATTATCCTTGATACACTCTCACAAGATGGAGAGGCTATCGGCAAGACCAACTTGTTCTAAAGAACTTTAGTACGTTGTCTCGACAACGGTTTGTTTAGAAGATTGCCAGCTAATCTCAGGTGTTGACATGTCAAACATGGATTATCCTTCGCCGAACAATGTTCAAACAAAGTGTAAGTCAATTTGGATGTGCTTCGTCAATGGGTGTAGCACCAAATTAAAGCTTAAATGCGTTGCGCAAAGATTATCACATAACAATGCTAGCAAATTCTTGAGTGGAAATCCTAACTCATTGAACAACATAAGCAACCACAATATGTCAAAGGCAGCATTTGCAAGATATTCAACCTCAGTACATAAGCAGGGGACCAATCGCAATTTTTCCAAGAGATGGGATTCGAGCTAAGAAAACTGATATATAAGCTAAGATAGATGTATGGTCATCAAGATTGCTCATCCAATTAGCATTTGAGTATGTGGTGAGAATAGAGTTTACATTCTTGAGAAACTGAATGCCATGAAAAATTGTTTGCTTCAGATAGTGAAATAGTTGCTTTGTGGTGGCCTAGTGGACGACGGTAGCCTTTTGTATAAACAAAGACATTTTGTTGCTGACAAAGGAGATACCAGGGTGTGTGAAAGAGAGGTACTAAAGAGCCCCAATCACACAATGCAATTATGTGCTCTTAACAATTGAGATACCATTAATTAATTTCAGAGCAATGCTGGTGGACAATGGAGTATATACATCTTTGACACCAAGCATATTAGTTTTGGACAGTAGATTATAGATGTATTTGTACTGAGACAGGAATAAGCCTGTTGTGGTGTAGATGACCTCCACACCTAAAAAATGGAGGTCTCCTATGTCTTTGAGAAATAATCGTGTACCAAGATCGTAAATAAGTGAAGTGACAAACTTAGGGTCACCACTTATGATAACAAGGTCACCCACATAGCAATTAATCTAATTGTACAAAACAAGTTGACGAAAATGGTTGACAAAACAAGTGTTGGCAAAACTTGGCCTCTGATTTCAAATGATTTAAAAAAAGTGTTTTTGAAGTGATTGGTGTAGATGTTGTTTTGTAAACCAACTTTGTCAACTAATTTTGTATAAGTAGCATGACTCTCTACGTAAACCACAAAATAGCATATAATTCGATAGATAAACAAGGATGAATAAGTTTTTAATTTTGAAAACCAAGCTCAATCAAGGCACATTTTAGAGTCGAATACCGCACTCGAAAAGCCTGTTTGTGATCATAAATGGCATGGCGCAATCTACAAATGTGATCGGGATTGGACATATCCTTAAATCCTGGAGGCTGAACCATATACACATTCCTAGTCAACTCACCTTGCAAAAATGTATTATTCATATCAAGCTATCTTAATAACCACCCTTATATCATATCAATTGTCAAAATAGTTTTGATAGTAGCTAGTTTCACAATAGGGCTAAATGTCTCTATGTGATCTAACCTGAGTCGTTAAGTATAGCTCTTGGCAACAAGTCAAGCATTAAATTGATCAATAGACCTATCCACATTTCTCTTAACTTGAAACATCTATTGGATTACATTCTTTAGAAGAATGAATGAACTCTCATGTAAAATGCCTCATGAGGGTAGTGAGCTCATCCGACATAGCATAGCTCCATTGGGGATCACAAAATGGTTGACTTACACAATAGTTCTACGGTGGGTTGGAAAGGATGTTTTGTGATTGAATTAAATTGTTTGGGTTTATATATAATGTTTTGGGATCGAGTAATCATTACGTGAGTTCTTTATGGTGGGGACAGAGATAGCTTTATCTGGATAGGAGTGGGAGTGATCAATGGGATGGGGATAAGAAAAAGTGGTACAGGTGATGCACCTGATAGATGACCTTGAGGTGGTGCCGGGTAAATTAGTATAGGGTGTATGTGAGGTAGATTGACTTAAAAAGGAAGATAAGAGTTACCCGAAGGTGATGTGGAAGCAATAGCAACATAGTCCGAAGCGATGACATAGTAACGAATGTGAAGCAATCCGAATAGATGAGTGGCACTTACTCTGTGTGATGTGCAATTCAATTGGGCTTTGGCTCTCATCAAATAGAATGTATCAAGAGATATACAAGCTGTTAGATTTAAGATTGAGACACTTGTATGCATTTTAGGTTTGAGAATAGCCAACGAATAAGCACAGAATGAATTTTGACTAAAGTTTATGGGTGTTGTAAGGCCTAGTGAGCAGAAAGCAAATGCAACCAATTTTTTTTTTTAATTTGAGATAGAGATAGTTAAAATGTTGGTCACGTAAGATTTCATAGAGAGATTTGTTCCTTAACAAGGGTGTGGGTCGATGATTTATAAGATAGGTGATTGTTGCGGAAGCTCTCTCAAAAGGATATTCAAACGGTGGTTTTCAGGCTCAGTCCAACGCACCTTTCTCAACCAACAACCAGTCCAATCGGCTCCAAACCACAACCAATTGATTCACCTTGGTTGCTATGCAATCTTACCCACGTAGGACAAGAAAGGATGATGATTTATGGCCACAAAGGCTAGGAGAAGACACCACAAAGATATACTATGAAAGAACCACCAATTGCACACGTTATACAAGCGTTCTGGACACTTCTGGACACCTTTTTCTCACACAAAAGGGGGGCAGCCGGGATTCACTATTTCTTCTCTCAAAATCACACAAAACATCATATGAAAGTGGCTAGGGTTATAGCCAAATATATACTCTAGGGTTAGGCTTTAAGTTGGGCCATTAAAGGGGTAAACAGGCCAAGAGTCAAGCCATCCATAAGGAATACAATTGGGCCGGGTATAGCTCATAGACTTGGTTGTTGAATTTATTTCATTCATCGGCCTATGCTTATGAAATAATATTAACCCACGTTAACATCATAGCCCGGGATTTATTGGGCATCAAAAACCCAACAAATCTCCACCTTGGTGCCCAATAAATCTGCAAGCAATCAAAACACACAGTTAACACTTGCATAATCAAGGTAGCCAATAAAATTGGATCACATACCTTACCTCATGTTTCCAACTTGAAACACATACCATACCTGCTCCATGTACTCACTGGGGCTAAGGTCAAAAACACCAAAGTAGAAGCAAATATTTAACAGTAAACAATCAAGAGCAAATACACATGCGATGACGATATACTATAGGATAACACACACATATCTTTTCAGAAACACGTTCACATAGAATCATAGATTAACACCAAGTCAATCAAATCACGGTCAACCACATATGCAACGCATGCATAAATGACCCTAAGAAAAGATCTCACCACACCTATCATATCCCATTCCGTGTTGCTCACACCTCGAGAACACATATCTCCTCTCATCGCCCACCAAGCTCTCTAGATAGATCACTCAACTCATGTCTAACTGGTAAGTTACAATAGATCCTAAGTCTACGAGATAATCCTCTATCTCCACATCACTTCTCCCAACCTACGTAGATAATGGGTCTCCACCTAATAGAAGTGATAAAAGTGCCTCTTTCACACTCCACATGATCAGGGTCTCTTTCCAGATAAAGGTTCCTAGACATTTGATCACATCTCCACTCGTGATCCAAATGTCACACTCCACATCCTCGGTACAAACCACCATGTACCCCTAGGCATCTATACTCCACCTCACCAAAAGACACACAACGCACTGCTAATGCATCCTAACCCACTATGCATGCAAGCAATTACACCAAGTAATCCTAATGTCTCAGATTCATGCAAATGCACATATCAAACACATTGAAATGTAGCAGATAATCATGCAACAAAATTTAGACAATCACACACATGCAGAAAGGATCACACATAGATACATATGCGGTGACTAGGTTTACACTTAATAAACCTCACTGGGGTTATAACTCGACCCCTCAACTAAATTCGTCTCACCTCTCATCTTACCCTTCACCTTATCTTTCTTCTTGGGACAGTCCCTAATAAAATGTCCAGACTTACCACAACTGTAACACCTTCTACCACTAGACTTGTCTCGTCCCCTGCCCTTCTTCTTACTACCCTCATCACTCGAGTCACTACTCGAATCACTACTGTCTTGAGTTCTACCCAAATTCATCTGCTTAAACTTCATTCTACTCCTCATCA